TGATTGTTTTTCTTCATTCTTGCTGCTCTAGGAAACTTCCAAGGACACTGTCTTTGGAATTGTGATCTGGGTTGAAAGCTGAAAGTGCAGACAGGCTTTGACTAAAATATCATGCCCTTGCTCTGTTAAAATGTTCTCCTACATCTTTCTGTATTTAGAAGCCAGACAAGGCCACATCTGGCTTTGTTCGGTCAAAGTCAACTCCCTTGGTTCCTCCTCGAGACCTGGCCAGGCTTTGGGAGAAACCAAACAGGAAAATTAAACCAGATGTTCCTGCACTAGAAGCACTGTCAGTTTTATTCAACATTGCTGGGCTCTCTCACAGTAAGGCTGGAAGCCTCACCTGTGTCTGGATGCACCTGCAGGAATTCCCAGTGTCCAGGAGTTGCTCTCCAATCCTTGGCTGTGACAGCTTCCCCCAGCTGATGTGTGGATCTGGGTGATGGTAAAGGCTGAGGGGAACTGATGATGGATCTTTCTAAATCATTACGGGCAAATTATATAAATTACACAATTCCTTAAATTGGTGTCTGTGTCTTCAGTGCTAACGCTGCCCACTGGTGTAACAGGGCCCCCTCCTGCCTAACTGTTACCTGGGAAGAAAAGAACCATCACTTCAAGTGTCCCCTCCTTTCTGCCTTCTTCCCAACATGTTATACACAGAGTGTGATATCCTATAGTCTGGGATGTCCCTGGGGTTAGTTTGGGTCATTTGTCCTGGCTGTGTGAAAGGCCTTGTCTCTGCAAGCTCAGCAAGAGCCAAACCATCTCTGTGTGATCAGCCCTGTGCTCAGCACCCGACCCCAGCAGTGTCTCAGTGCCAGCATCCGTGGCACCAGTCCTCACAAGGGGTTTCCATGGCAACTGCCAGGACAGGCAACCCAGGTGCGGTATCCCAGTGAGGGTTGCCATGGAAACAGGTCCCAGCACTGACCCTTTCTGTATGGCTGAGCTGGCCTTTGGCCCTGGCAGTGGCGTTTGCTGCTGGTTCTGCGGTGCCTGACCAGCCAGCGTGGCACAGGGCAGGTGGCCATGGCACAAGCCCCCAGCACAGGGCTCTGTCCTCTGGCTCTGGGCAGTGACAGCAGCATCCATGTCCAGTGTCCATGGTAACAGCCCCTTGCAATGGCCAGTCCAGGTTGGGATGATAATCCACCCAGGGCAGCTCTGCAGTGCCCTTCCCCAAAGCCTGTCTGCACAGAAGCACTTCCAGGGCTCTCTGCATTTCCCTTCCCTCACTCCTGGGTCACTCACACACCTCCCAGCAACCCACTTGGTGCTTTCAGCTGAAAGGAGTTTAAAGTTGCTCTGTCCTTCAGCATTTGGTCTAATTCTGCCCTAAACCAACTCAGGATTTGTGTTTATTGTACGACTTCCTGCATACTGAGAGGGATGATGGGTTTGTCTTTACAAACAAGATGTGGGTCTGCTGATAATATGAAACTATCACTGAGAGTTAACAGAAACAATAGGATGGACTCTACTGAAAGATGAAAGAGGCACTGAGGAAGCACCACGAATTCCACAAGAGTTAAGAATTAAGGGATTATGCATTGGGAGCAGGGGAGGTATCCCAGGTATTGGGCATTCTGGGCAGTCTGAACCTCTCAAGTCCCTCAGCCTATGGGGAAACAGAGAAGAGACATAGGGCCGGGAATTAGGATAAAAGGGAGGCTGCACCCTCCAAAAATTTGAGAGACCCCAGGGGAATGCCCCACGGCCTCTCCCTTTATTCGAATAAAGTAAAAGGACTCCTCTGTCTCCTTTTTGAACATAAACCTCTGGTGTTTGTGGATTAATTTTCCTGACAATACCTAAACCATTCCTTGCACGGTTCTGCCTTGGAGGCAGCTTGGCCTTGGAACACACTTGAGAAGGGTGTCCATTTCCAATGGGGAAACTCGGGAGTTTTAAATTGCTTCAAAAAATAAAAGAAAACCCCTCTTTGCCTGCATACAGCCAGTTCTCTGAGCAAAGCAGGTCCTGGGTGAGTGAGGAGAGACAGGATAGGGCTAGGGAGTGTGGAGCAAGGTTGTCCACACTGGGTCAGACCTCAAGGCACAGCTTCTCTGACCTGGCCAGACCTCCATAGGAGAGACCCTGGATCTATACTGATCACTGAATGCTGAAAACACCTCTGCTCTAAAGAGAACAGTAATAAATTGCACACTTTAAAATAGGAATATGTTTCCTAGAAGATCGTTGAAATATTCCTCCATAACTGTAGTAGGAAACTTTCCCAATGAACTGCACCAGACCAGAGAGAAATCAAGGCACAGCCATGGTGTGTTAGGACTTGCTTCATTCTAATGAGCCCCGCGGTGCATTTGGAACTGACCCCTTGAACCTCAGGACCTGAGAGGAGATTGCACAAACCTTTCCAGGAGTCAGAGGAAAAACCCAAAGTGTCTCAAAGTATTAATTGGTCCCACTGAGGCCCATCCCCAACACAGGCTCCTTATGGACTCCTTGAAGGAGAGAACTGGAAGCCGGGATTGCATAAAAACCCCTCAAGAGGTTCAGTGTGGGAAGGAAAATCCAAAGTACCTTAAACATCTTGAGTGTCTCAAAGCATTAATAGCTCCACTGAGTGTCAATGCAAAGCTCTTAAGGGACTCGTTAAAGCAGATAATTGGGGCCATGATTGCACAAACCTCTCACAGAGTCTGTATCAAAAGGAAAACACCAAGTACCTTAAAAGATTGAAGTACCGTGATCCATTAATGAGCCCCACTGAGTGTTGTTACTGACAAAGCCTCTCAAGGGACTAATTAAAGCAGAATTGGAGGCCATGACTGCACAAACCTCTCAGAGATGCCAGTACAAAAACAAAACTCAAAGTCCTTTGAAAATTCTGCAGTCCCTGGGAGCATTAAGGAGCCCCCCAGGGCCATTCCTGACAAAGGCACCTCAGGGGATGTGGGGGATGATGGGTTTGAGGGAGTTGAGGCTGCCTGGGAGGAACCTGGAGGTTGCTCAGGGCTTTGGGAACCCCAGGACGAGCAGCTCTGGCTGTGCTGGGAGACCCTGGTGGAGGTTCTGGAGAGCTGATCAAGGACCCCCTGTCCCAGAACTTTCCCCTTGTCCACCAGTCCTGGTTCCACCACCCAGGACTCCCCTCCCCACGCTGTCACTCCTCTTGCCTGTTCCCATGTCATACCTCTCCTGGTCCTGTCCGGATCCCATCCCAGTCCCAATCCCATTCCCAGCCTCAGTCCCTGTCCCATATTCTGTCTGGCTGCCGTTCCCATATTCCCAGTCCCATATTCCCAGTCCCATATTCCCAGTCCCATATTCCCTGTTGTGTTCTTATTCTCCTGTTCCCGGTCCCGATGACGGTCCTGCATTTCCATTTCTATATTCCCTGTCCCGTTCCCATATTCCCAGTCCTGTTGCCGTATTCCTGTTTCCGATCCTGCTCCCATCTTCCTAATCCTCAGCCCATATTCTCTCTCTGGTTGCTGTTTCCATATTCCCTGTCCAGTTCCCATATTCCCATTCCCGATCCCATTCCCGCTCCCTGTCCTGTGCTCCCGGTCCTGTTCCCGGTCCCTGTGCCCATTTCCGGTCCCATTCCCAGCCGCTGTCCCCATTCTCGGTCCCTGTCCCCTCTCACCAGCCGCTGTCCCCATTCCCGGTCCCTGTCCCCTCTCACCAGACGCCGCCACCATCGCTGCGGCCACACTGGAATGCTCCCGCTCACCAATCACAGCGCGCGATCGCTCTTTTATTTGCATAACCATGCCCTTTCTGTTTGGCCACGCCCACCGCGAGTTGTAGGTGTGCTCGGGCGCTGTTTCCTCCCAGTTCCCTCCAGTGCTCCCAGTAAGAGCCGTACTGGGAGGAAAAGCGCTCCCAGTTCCTTCCCGGTGCTCCCAGTATCGCTCCCAGTATCGCTGCCAGTATCGCTGCCAGTATCGCTGCCAGTATCGCTCCCAGTTCCTTCCCGGTGCTCCCAGTATCGCTCCCAGTATCGCTCCCAGGATCGCTCCCAGTATCGCTCCCAGTATCGCTCCCAGTTCCTTCCCGGTGCTCCCAGTATCGCTCCCAGGATCGCTGCCAGTATCGCTGCCAGTATCGCTGCCAGTATCGCTCCCAGGATCGCTCCCAGGATCGTTCCCAGTATCGCTCCCAGTGCCGCGCGAGGCGGGGCCGCATCGGGAGACGCCCCAGGGCAGAGCTCGGCTGCTTTTGTGTGTCGGCAGCTGCCCGGGCCGGCCGGGGAGAGGAGGAGGAGCGGGAGGAAGAGGAGGAGCAGGAAGAGGAGGAAGAGAAGCAGCGGGAGGAAGAGGAGCGGCAGAAGCACGAGGTTTCCCCGCCCGCCCGCAGCTTCCCCGGCTCCAGCAGCATCACCTGGCGCCCCCCGGAACCCGCAGGTGAGCGGGGAGGGGGAGCTCGCCCAAATCCATCCTGGGAGTCTCCGGGAGGGTTTTCTTGCGGGGCCGGGGATATTTGGACCTTGCAGGACCGCAAACCCGAGCAGCAAATGCCCTTTGGGGGGGTCCCACGTGGCGATCGCCCGGTATCGGTGGGCAGAGGGGCGATACCGGATCTGAGGATCCCTGGATCTCCGGGGGAGAGCACAGAGGGGCGATCCCGGAGCCAGGAAACCCCTGCAGCCTGCAGGGGTGGGGGAGGCTGGGATGAGCAGGGTCCGGGCGCCCCCGAGACTGAAAGGGCCGGTGACTTCTCCAGCTGGACTTCGGCAGCGGGATCATCAAACCCAATGCGCTCAGCCCTTTTTTCCCCCCAAACCGGGATTTCCCATTCCCAAACCTTGGCCCGATGGAGGTGGAAGCTGTGAGGAAGAGGAAGATGCCCCAGGACAGCCAGGCAGGTGAGGAGGAAGTCAGTGCCCCTTTCCCCCTCTCTCCTGCTCCATCTCCCAGCCCAGCCCGGCCCCCGGCTGCAGGACAACCCCGCTGCCGACGCCGTCCTGCCGGGGACGCACTGGGGGGATCTCCTTCCCCTTCCCTCTGGCACGGAGGCAAATCCCATCCTCTCCTTGTCCTTCCTCCCACAGACAAGGAGCACTTATAAATTAAAAGCTAGATTTGCCAATACATCAAGCAATATACTAAATTTATTAATTTGTTCAATAAAAGGGTGATCAATGACAGGTCTGGGTGCACAGGGGTCTCCAGCCCAAGCAATGCAGAAATTCAGATCTCAATCTTAGCCTTGCATACCATTCTAGGCACTTCACTTCCTCGGATTTTCAGTTATTTTCTACTTCTTTTTCTTCATAATCAGCAGTTGTGGTTTTTGAAGATCTGTTGGGGAGGTGATCTGAGATGGTCTTCTCGTGTCTCTCCAGCCTCCCATTCTGCTTTTAAAATATCTTTCTTCCACTAGCATTATTTTTGCTTATACAGTTTGTTTAAGCAAGCATACATATTCTGTTAGCATACATTTTGCAAGCCTTCTTTCATTCATTTCACAACCTAAAGCTAGCATGTCTAAAAAATGTCTTCATAGGGTCTCTTCCTCAGTTATAAAGTCAGCATGTTTTAAAATGCCTTTGTAGAGCCTTTCAACTTACATTAGTCCTACTTCCCCTTTTTAAATGATTAAAAATTCTTTCATATTCAAAAAAATTTATAACTTGTACAAAAGATAGCTTGAAACTTATAGTACAAGTTAGTTTGAAGTTTGTATTCATTACTTGCAAGTAATTACAGTTTTGTTGTTAAATTATTAGCTAGAAGTTTACTGTTATAGTTACCTTGTTAAACCCTACTCCCATGCCTTACTTATTTTCTCTTAAAATTTTAAATCCACTGTTTTCTCCTAAAATTACTATGCAATTTTTAACCTTTTTCTTCCAGGTTAGCCCATTAGGAATGTCATGGCTTCTTCCTAGCTACAGCATTGGTAATGAAGTTTTTTCAGCTGATTTTTAAAACTCTTCTTCATAATAATCCCATAGTCTCTGTCTGTATTGCCCACAGACACACATACATAGGTGGATGCTATTCAATTGACACAAATTACCACCTGATTTCTCACAGAGCTGAGGATGGAGACACGGGAGAACAAATCCCTGCAGCAGAACCTCATGGAAGACGCCGTTTTGAGCAGCTCCATGGCTCAGGAATCCAACGGGGAGGAAAAGCCCCAGAGATCCCTCACAAGGAGGGGCTGCAAAGGCAGATCACAGGGATCTGAGGGGATAAGAGCCACCTTGGGCCGGAGAGGCGGCTGGAGCTCAGAGCTGGAGGTCCATGAGAAGCTTCACAATGGAGAGAAGTCCTACAAGTGCTCAAAATGTGGGAAGAGCTTAAGCCAGAGATCCTCTCTGATCCGCCACCAGAGAATCCACACCGGGGAGAGGCCCTATGAGTGTGAGAAATGCAGGAAGAAATTTCATTACAGATCCACTCTCCTCAGGCATCAGCAGACTCACACAGAGGAGAGACCCTTCTGCTGCCCCGACTGTGGGAAGGGCTTCAAGCTCAACTCCGCCCTCGTCACCCACCGGCGCATCCACACCAGGGAGAGGCCCTACGAGTGTGGGGAGTGTGGGATGAGCTTCACCCAGGGCTCCACCCTCACTGCCCACCAGAGGAGACACACAGGGGAACGGCCCTATGAGTGTGCTGAGTGTGAGAGGTGCTTCAGGACAAGCTCTGAACTGACTGTCCACCAGAAGATCCACACGGGGGAACGGCCCTACGAGTGTGGGCAGTGTAAGAAGAGCTTCAGACGGAGGTGCCACCTGCTCCGCCACATGGGAGTGCACACAGGGTTATGGCCCTATGAGTGTGGGGAGTGTGAGAAGAGCTTCAGGACGAGCTCTGAACTGATTGTTCACCAGAGGAGCCACACAGGAGAGAGGCCTTATGAGTGTGATAAATGCAGGAAGAGGTTTCACACCAGTTCCCATCTCCTCCTGCACCAGCGGATTCACACAGAGGAGAGGCCCTTCCGCTGCCCTGACTGCAGGAAGGGCTTCAGGCGAAACTCTGACCTTATCAAGCACCGGCGCATCCACACCAGGGAGAGGCCCTACGAGTGTCCTGAGTGTGGGAAGAGCTTCTCACAGAGCTCTACCTTGACCCAACACCAACAGAGGCTCCACAAAGGTAGCCCTGCAAGTTCCCCAAATCCAGGAAGAGCTGCGTGCACTGCTCCAGCTCCATCCCCTGTGGGAGGATACACGCTGGATGATCCCCAGTGATGCCTGATGGGCAGAGCCCTGTGATCCGTGGTGCCAGTCATCTGTGTTGGCAAGACGCCTGGCTGGGGGACTCCACCTCCTCCTGGCTCCCTGTGGACACCTGGACACATCCACAGACCAGCATCAGAAATCCGTTGTGGACAACAGATTTGTTGACTTCTGACCCCAGAAAAATCTCACTTTTTGCATCTTCTGGTGGCATAAAGCAACACTGGATGGCCTTGTAGACTGGAGGTCTTCTCCAACATAAATCCATTGTTTTAATTCTCCCTGGCCTACATGCATCTTCCACAGCCAGATGGGGACAGACTGGGGCAAAACCAATGTTTCTGGAGACAGCGGAGTGGAAATCCCTCCAAAAAAGTTTCTTACCCACTGAAGCACATGGATGCTGTGCTGGCAGGGATACATAAATCCTTTTGTTTTGGCCTTGAAAGGAAAAAGTTTCTGTTCATCCTTTGAAACCCCCGAAACTGGGGAAAAATAAAGACATTGAACCAAGGCACGAATGGGGATATGTTGGGGACAATGACATGGGTGGGTCGGTGGGGACATGGAAACAGATGGGGACACGGGGGACACAGACTTGGAGAGTGACATGGGGGTGATGCGTAAAGTCTTAGCTTACGTATTATTCAGATTCTGTACTGCCTTGGTGTGTAACTGAACTTCATATTAAGTGTTAGGAAGTTCTCTTCACAGGGTAGTTAGACAAAACAGTCCTTTTCCAGCTTGAGAAGCAAGGACAACTGTTACAGCCTCAGGCCCAAAAAGCATAAACAATGGTGAACTGAAGGGAGCAAACAAGGAGGATGGGACTTCATAACCTGAAGCTGTAATTGGACAATTAACACAAATATGTAAATGTATCAAAACTTAGTAAAGTATGAAAACTTGTGACTGGTAGTCTATCTTGTGTCCATCTTGGGCAGAGCCCTGGCTGGGCTCTTGTACTGCCCAAGGTCTATCCTTTAAAGGATAAGGATAAATAAAAGGATATTTAAAGGATAAATATCTACTTTACTCCTTTAACTCTGTTTAGACTCAGCTCCAGGTCAGCCTCTTTCAGGCATCAGGGGGACATGGACATGGATGTGCGGAATGTGGATGGGGACACGAACTGGGACAGCACTGGTGCCATCACAGTGCCACCACCACCATCATCATCTTGGCCACACTGAAGTGCTACTCGATGCAGTTCCTGCCACCACATCCCCACTGTCACCACTGTGGTGTCCCCCACACGTGGGGGGGATGGGGACATTGTACAGCTAGTGACAAGTGGCCTGGAAACAAGTGACAGCCACCAGGGTGTACCAGGGCCACTGAGCTCACAGGACCCCAACTGCCCCTGGGGACAAACTGGAGACAGGTCAGTCCTGGTGGCTTCATGCTCTGACATGTCCTAGTGGCAGCATCCCCACTTGTGTGGTGACACTGTCCCCTGATGTGTGTCCTGGTGGCATTGTGTCCCCTCCCATCCCTATGTCCCCATCCCCCATTGTGGCTCTCTGTCATATTTCTGTGTGTCCCTATCCTGCCCCATCTGTCCCGTCCTCCCTTTGAATCCCTGTCCCCATCTCCCCTGTGTGTCCCTGTCCCACTCTGTGTGTCCCTGACCCCTGTCCCCAGTAAGGCCAAAGTCCCCAGGGTCCCGGGGCCATGTCCTGCAGGGTGTCCCCATGTCCCACAGGGTGTCCTTGTCTCCTGCAGAGTGTCCCTCAAGGATGTTCCTATGGCTGCTCCTGGCACTGAGCATCTGCACCCAGCACAGGTAGGGACATGCTGCAACACCCTGTGACACCCTTTCTGATTTCAGGTCCTTTCCCTCTTATTTTGTGTCATTTCCCCCTATTTTGGGTCCTTTCCCCTTGATTTGGAGTCTCTCCCCCAATTTTTGGGTTCCCTCTCCTTACTTTTGGCACATTTTTGGGTGCCTCCATATCCTCTAACCTCCTCCCCACACCTTAAGCCCCCTCGCTTCCCACCCTCTGTCCCCCAGCTGTGTCCCCAGCTGTCCCCCTGTGCCACATGGACTTTGTACTCACCATCCTGAATGCCCTTGAGTCCGCAGTGCGGGAGGGTTCCACTGGCACTGCCACAGCCTTGGGGGGGGTTCTGTGAGTCTGCAGCACTCCGGGGTGCCGAGTATTGCTGTGTGAGCCTCCCAGGACCCCCGAACACGCTCTGGCTCTCACCCCGGGCCAGTGGCAGCTCCTGACCAAGCTCCTCTGCCATGACCCGGCAACTCCAGAGCTGGGGGTGGTGCTGGCCCCTGACGGTTCCACGGTGGCCCTCGGTCCCCTGCTCGCTGGCATTGAGGCGGGGCTGGGATCCAGCAGCTTTGGGCTACCCCTCCTGCTATAACTGCGTATCTTCTGCATCTCCATAGCTGCCTTCCTCCTCATGGTAGCCAGGGAAGCAGAAGAGATACTATAGCCTTGAACAGAGAATCTAAACCGAGGCCCTTTCCCTTGCTGAGATAGAAGTGCAGCTTTATTTCCTGGGATCCTGTGGAGAAGGAGAGCTGGAGGGAAAGAGGAAGAAGTATTGATAAGCACCTCTTTTTGAAGGCAGGGGGAAGAGGGTGGCTTACTTTCACACAGCCAATAAGGGGATCTGGGGGGAAAGAGATAAGGGAAAGAAGCTAACATTCTACATTTTCGGGGGTACATTCTTTGGGTTATACCATCTTTTCTAAATGCATTACAACACCCTCCTCACCCTCAACCCGTCCACCAACCCCCTCTTGGCTGTCACCACTGCCGAGGCTTTGGGGACATCCTTCCTGCTGATGCAGGGGGATGATAACAACGGCACCATGCTGGGACCTGGCAGCTGCTGGGACACCATGGAGAGCCCCCAAAATTACACCTTGATGGGGTCCCCAACCCCATGGCCATTGGGGATCCCTCCTGCTGGCCGAGCTGCTCCAGGGCTACTACATGACTGGGAATGGCTCAGTGTGGCACTATTGGGAACGGTGAGGCTGTACAACACGGGCTCTCCTGTTCAACTCACAACAGAGTCCGTGTCATACTGCTTCACCGCTCTCAGTAGTGCGACAGCTTGGAAGCGGGGAGACCCCCCAGCAGTTACTGGCGCTGGGATTTTGGGGCGCTAGTGGGACAGGGATGGCTGGAGAAGGAGGTGGCAGCAATTTCGGGGGTGCTGAGGATGCTGTCGCCCAGCCTGGAGCTCCTGAGGGTTGTGAGGACAAAGGAGGTGGCAGCTGTGGCTTGTCGGACAGCACAGGAGTTCATTGAGTGCTACGTGGGTATGGGCAGGGTAGCAGGGTAGCACCTGCTAAATGGGGGTGTCACCCCTCAAATGACGGTTGTCACCTCCCAAATGGCAGTTGTTAAACCTAAACAGGGCTTGTCACCTCCCAGTCAGGGATTGTCACCCCCTATGTCCCCATCAAGCCCCATATCCCCCAAAGGAATCCCTTTTCCCCACATGGTCTCTGTAATGTCCCCAGTGGCTCACAGGAAATACCCAGCCCCTTGTCCCCACGTGGACACCACCACAACCCCAAGGAGCCCCTTGTGGATCTTCTGGTGCCAGAGAAGGTAGGAATTGTTGCTGCAGCTCTTCACACACTCCAAGCACTTAGAGGGCCATTCCCCAGTGCGCATCCACTGGTGGTAGAGGAGGTGGGAGCCATGCCTGTACCTCTTCCGACATTCCAAGCATTTGTAGGGCTTCTCTCCATCATGAAGCTGCTCAGGGACCATCAGATCTGAGCTCCAGCTGGATCTCCAGCTGCCTCCCCTGCCCTGGGTGGGTCTTTCTTCCTCAGACCACCCTGGGATAGTTTTATCCTGCAGCAGGGAGCCATGCTGGGCTGGGGGATGGAATAGGAGAGGGGGAAGGGGCAGTGACTTTCTCCTCACCTTCCAGGTGTCCTGGGCCATCTTCCTCTTCCTCACAGCCTCCTCCTCCGGATGGAGGAGCCAAGTTTTGGGAAGGGGAAATCTAGGTTTGGGGGGAAAACAAGGTGTGAGAGGGTTTGGTTGGGGATTCCGTCTGAACAAGCCCATCTATAGAAATCACTGGACATCTTGTATGCATGAAAAACCTCCAGACCATCAAGATTTAGCTGGAAAAGCCCTCAGAAATACCAAGATTGAGTCCCTCAAGACTTGAATTAATCATGATCATCCCAAAAAAAGCTCCCCAGGAGTTCCCCCTTTCTGGTCTCCCCACTTTGGAGTTCTGGGGCTCCTGCATGTATTGATGATTCTTCTCTCTGGGGTCCCCACCCACTCCAGGTGGTATCAGAGGTCCCAGGAATCCCTAGGGTCCCCACTCTCTGCTCTTCTGACCTTGGGCTTCCAAAGCTCCCCCTTCTCTGTGCTGCTGGAGGTTCCCAGACCCTGGGTGTTCCCTGGCTCCCTCTCTCTGGACTCCCACTTAGCGATTCTGGGGCTCTTGGGGTCCCAGTGCTCCCATTTCCCCTGACTCTGCTCCAGGTTGTGGGGAGGTCCAGGCATTGCCCCTTGTCAGGGTGTTCCCCTCTCCTGAATCCTGGAGGTCTCCTCTCCCTGGACTGCAAACTTTGGTGTCCTCAATGTTCTCCCCTCTCCTGCCCACCCCCGCAAAAAAACAACCTCTCGGTTGGGAACCCTCCAAAACTTCCCCAAAAGCAATTTGCAGCTTAGCTTTGGAGTCCTTCAAGCTCCAAAACTGCCCCCTCTCTCTCTCCCCTACAATCCCCCCAAAATACCCTCCCCCAGCATATTTGGGCAGGCTTCCCTTCCATGGTCACCTGCGAGATACGGGGGAACAATGCCCCATGGGCCGCGAGGGCTGTGGACACAGCAAGGGCTGGACCACATGGTCCCTCCGCTTCCAGTTCCTGCTCCTCCTCCTCCTTCTCTATCCCAGGTCTTCCTCCCACTCCTCTTCCTCCTCTTCCTGTTCCTCCTCCACTCCTCCTCCTTCTCTTAATCCCTCCAGCCCTTCTCCTGCTGCTTCTCCATCACCGCTCCACCATCCTCATTCCTCCTGCCCCGTTCCCAAACCCCTCACAGCGCACGGCAGGAGCGGGGATGGAGCCGGGACAGGTCGGGATGGGCAGCGCGGAGCTCTCCGCTGCTCCCACCCGCTGGGGACTGGGGGAACCCGGCCCAGGGAAAAGGAGAGGGAAACTGGGAAAATTTGGGGCTGCAGATCCAACCTCGGTCTGGCTGGGGACCCTGGGTAGGGAATTGCAACCCTTTGGGCTGATGCCTGAAAGATACACATTACATTGAATAAAGTTATTTGTATCAGGTTATATAGGTATAAAAGTTATGATTCAGGTTACATAGGTATAAAAAGCTATAATTCAAGTTATACAGATATCAGGTCATATGGATATATAAAAAGTCATGATTTAGGTTATATTGGTATCAGGTTATATAGCTATATCAAGTTATGTTGATATCCTATAACTCAAGCTATAGAAGCATCATGTAACTTTGATCTAAGTTAAACTGGCATCAGGGCTCTTCCCACAGGCCTGGAGATGTTGGAGCAGGGACTGCAGAGATGGGTGAAAGATCCCAAGAGTGGGATTTTGGGGATAGGATCTGTGGGGATGGGAATATCCCGCTCCCTTCCTGGGGCAGGGTCACACCTGAGCCAGGTGTGCAGGACCTTGCCCTGACCCCAAGCATTGTCCCAGCTGCAGGATCTGTTTCCCATTGGCCTCTTCCTCCTGCAGCCCCAGGCCCAGCTTGGTGCTGAACAAAGGGGCTGGGGCAGGGTCATCCCCTGGTGGGGGCTGCGCACCCCTTCTGCCCCCTCCCCAAATTCTCTCCCAGGGGAACAGGAGCTGGGTCAGGAGCCCTGTGGGAGGGAAAAGGGGGTGACACCAGGATGGGGGTCACACACAGCCCCCGAGGATTCCCCCT